TACAACTAATATCTTTGTACATAGCTTCGTTACCTAATTGATTTCACATTTTTCTTACGGACTAAACTTAAGGTGATTCTCTAGTTTTGCACTGTGCATCCCTCACCGCGCATAAAAAGATGGCCTCGGTGAAAAAGAGCTACTGCAGAAACATGATTTAAATGACTTCGATCGAAGAGAAGCGTTATTGGAATTTCCCATAGCAGTTTTTTTTTTCTGGTGAGATGAGTCTCAAAGCGTTGGAAATGTGCCTAACGTAAGCGGTACGCGTGTTTCTGAGTTAAAGTTCCTCACTGAGGCCTTCGATAGTGGATGTTGCGCTGAACCACTTTCATGACATGTAAGCTTCATCTTTATGACAGTATGTCCTAACTGCTTCATCTTGATGTAAATTCCATAAAATTGAATTTTTCAATCCTTTTTTCAACCTTCCACGTACATGCCGCTTTAAAACCTACCCCAATCCTCCCTCAGAGTCGCAAGAAATGCAGGTGGTGCGCACTATCTGCAGCTCTGCCGCAAAAACAAGCACCCTTTTTATTTCGTTATTTTAATAATAACAATGCTTCCTTTCAATGACAATTCTATATGATATTTTCTGTCCCATAGGACACTCAAAATTCCTTCAAGTATAAATAAGCCTACTCCAGGCTCCAAGATAGTGGGAAAAACGGAGCAAGACAAAATGCACGAATTTTCGAATCATTGTTGACTAGTGAACATTTCAACTGCATCAACTACATGGACTATCATTTTAATGTCTGCTTCTTCTCCGTGCAAACAGACGCATTATTGACCATGTAGGTTTGATGCTGTGGATTTCTACCGGAATTTTTTCTTTTCATCAAGCGATCCAGTTTCGTCCTGTTGAACGTTTCGCGATGAGATCTTTGCAACACAGCAAACGACTTGAAAATGAGGAAGCCGAATTCCATTTCCTATGGCAAACCATTTCCCCTGCAGTCAACTGCAAAATTTAATTCTCCCGTCTCATAAAATGAAGTCAAGTCTTGTTCAAAAATAAGGTATCCAGCACAAGAGTCGTAACGTTTCCAGTTAACAGGACACCGAGATTTTTCAGTTGTTTCCTTCTAGCAAATAACTCATCATTAACATCATTAACCGGTCAGTTGCTTGAAGCAGCGACCTGTTTCCAGCGTCTTCAAATACATGCATCAGGAGTTCTGGACTTCCGGTTGGATCGCACGGCATTGTGGGTAGGCGGGCTCAGAAAAGTGGGCATCAACTTGCAGCTTCGCCATATTGGATTACACGTGCAGGAATATAGAAAATACAGTTGGACTGAGATAAGTGGGCATCAAATCCTTGTTTGGTCGCCATCTCTGCTTGTTTGAAGTTGTTTCGCTTGATTTATTACCCTTTGTATTCATAATCGAATCGAAACGAGACTCACTTACAGAAACTCCAGTGACAAGGCCAAAACAGGTAAGGAGTCGTATTTCTGTTCCGTTTTGTTTTTATCTCCTAACTAAATGAATGGACAGAAGTCGGAGCAGAGGTGAAGCTCTGATAGTTGAATACGTTTTAACTTTTTATTTATTTTGTTATAATGTAGGTGTGATATGAGTCGTGAAGAGCTGCCTTTCGAGGTTATCCAGACATGGAAACCTGAGCAACTGAAAGAGTTCTGTCGCAAGCGGGACTTGAAGGTTTCAGGAACCAAAGCTGAACTTGTAGCCCGCGTATTTGCCGCGGCAGAAATGGGCATTTCCATCAAGCCAACTGCTCTGGAACGAATTGCTACTACCGAAAAAGAGAAGGCAAAATTACTCATAATGCCAAACGGGACCTCAGTTCCAGATCCTTTGAAACTGAAGGATGGCTGGGTGAAGGAAAGCGAGAACATGACTTCTTGGCCGCCGATATACCTGAGTGATATAACATTGTTTTTGATGATTGATCACCCAGGGAAGGATGTTGACTTCCACAAACGCGTCCTAAATGAATACAAAGAAGGGAAGGCGTATCGTTTGTTTGACTCTGGCTGGTTGAAAGAGATATCATATCATAAAATCACGGATGACTCGGAATATTGCTTTTTAAAAGCAAAATGCACTCATTCCATGAAAATATCGGATACACCGCATTCTGCATGGATTTGTGCGAACAAGAATAATGGCTTTATAGTCAATGCCTACTGTACATGTGTTGCTGGGTTTGTATTACCAAGACAGATAAAAGTGAACATAAATTAGTATTAATTTGTAGGGTCAAACCCTATTTTTCATCTCATTTCATAGTTTCATGTTACTGGTGTGATGGTGCTATATGGTGGTAGGGACTCAACCATGGAATTAAAAAGGGTACAAGCTCCTTGAAACTAAGAGAGAGTCATGGTATAGTATAAACCAACTAGTGGTCTATTACAAATCCTTCATTCTGATTGAGTGAGCAACTAATGGCCTATTAATGATAGGCCGTGCCTGGCAAAACCACCTGCTTTCTTGCAATTTGATTTTTTTTCAACACAAAATAATGGTATCCACACTCACAAAACAGATTAACTTGTTGGTCTATACTAAAACAATTAGAATTTGCATCTTTTTGTGGTATTGGCCTCTGGCCCTGTGGTGCATTTGTCATATAGCACATTCTGACTTGAGGTCTAATTATTAAATAATTGGGAGATGAATTTCACAAAACTAGGAGCAGGGCAATATTATTCTTGAGCCCCCCAACAGTGTTGAGGTTTTTAGATGCTACATGATTATTTTCATTCCCTTTTTTATAATTTCAGAATGAGCAGCTCTTGTATTCACATCACAGCATTGCTGTTTAGAGTTGAGGCTGCTAATAGAAGTGGAATGACCAACCCAGCTTGCACATCAAGACAATGTGTGTGGAATGTCCCATCAGAAAAGACAGTTATCAAGCCAACAAAGATTGCTGACATGAATTGGAAGTCATCAAAACTAAATAAAGGTAACTAAGTAAGATATAGTAAACATAGGACATAGGAATCACTGCTATTGGAGAAATGCTGAAAAATGAATATGCTAAACTATTTTGCAAACAAGGCTGAACTTCATTCATGCAGCATCACGATACAGTGTCCCTGTAATATTACCACAAAATGTAGCAACCTCTGAGCCTATGATTACCTCATGATTTGATCAGCTTTGTTTTTGTTTTCTTAAGAACCTACCAGACCAACTGTAGACAGCAGGCGTAGCCTCTTTCAGCCGGTAGAAAAAAAGAGGGCTCTGGATGACAGTGAGAGAAGGAGAAGTTTCTACGAGAATTTAAAGGATACATTTCCAGACTCCTGTTTTGTGTTGATGGGTCAAGCTGAATGCACACCAGAGCCACTACAACCAATATCCACTCCTAGAGAAAGTGACATACTCTCCAGTGATGAAATTGATGCTATAGAGGAAATAACTGTTGGTCCGACTGAAAATGAGGCTTGGCACCAGCAAAGGGAGGGCAGAATAACTGCCTCAAATGTTTACAGGGCATTGACTAAAGTAGAATCAGTGAGTCAAGCTGAATGCACACCAGAGCCACTGCAGCCAATATCTACTCCTAGAGAAAGTAACATACTCTCCAGTGATGAAATTGATGCTATAGAGAAAATAACTGTTGGCCAGGCTGATAATGAGGCTTGGCACCAGCAAAGGGAGGGCAGAATAACTGCCTCAAACTTTTATAGAGTATTCACTAAAGTAGAATCAATGAAAGTCAATGAAGAAAATAGTGCCGATAAACTTGTTGATAGCTTATTGGGAAAAGCTAAACCACCTACAAATTTACCAGCTCTTAAATATGGCAGAGATATGGAGCCCATTGCAGTTAAGGAATTCATCAAATACTTCAAAAAACACCACAAGGATGTTAGGTATAGAGAATGTGGTATCTTTATTGATAAAACTAAACAGTACTTGGGAGCATCCCCAGACTTACTGATAGAGTGCTCTTGTTGTGGGGAAGCAGTAGTAGAGATCAAGAACCCTTTTAGCATTGCCAATGAAATTCCCTCAGCAGATAATCTGTCATACTTATGTATGTGTAATGGACAAGTAGCTTTAAAGCAGCAGCATCAGTACTTTGCACAGGTCCAGGGTGAGATGGCCATAACAAAGAGGCAATTGGGCTATTTCTTTGTATACACACAAAAGGGCTATCACTTGGAAACAATCAGATTTAATGCCACATACTGGCATAGGCTTGAAGAAAATCTAACCTGGTTTTATAGTAATTGTCTTTCACCAGCCCTGAAACTACTGCGAAAATAAATTGTTTAAAAAAATACCTAGAAAATGGATCTGACTGATTATATAAACAGGCAATCATATTTCCATGGAGCCTGCACAATATAATTGAACAACTACATGTATTATTGTATTAGTCATTGCTTTATTTGATCCTTGATATCTAATGTCAAAAGTATAAAACATTCATCAAGTTGTTAATAAAAAAATTGCTTCCTACACTGATTACACTGGTCTTATTAAGACATCAACATAAATTTTGTATTACTGGGGTAGCCAGGGTTTTGTCAAAAGGGGCTCAAAGGGGCCCAAGGCTTAAAAGGGAGAGGCCTGTGCTTTTTCTGGACTTGATTGTCCCATATATTTACTATATATTACCTTTCAGAGAGGTGGGCCAGGCCCTTTAGTCCCCCCCTGGCTAAGCCCCTGTTTATGCATATTTGTGGTAATGTCATCCTACCAGTGCAAGGAAATCAGTTTCCCTAAACCTGTGAACATACCATTGATATCTTGAATTGTGTTATTCCAGAAGAGGCAGAAAAAGCCCATACCCAAACCATGGAGGGAATTATTTTTCAAACGATCCCCCAACCCCTAAGGAATTTCCAAATGAAAAGTGCAGTAGTGTTTTTATGGATGTTTATCTCCTATAAAACAGGTGGCAAATTGACCCCCCCGCTGGAATTTTCAATTTCCCTCCATAGTGGGGGTATGGATTTTCTCGTGAATTACACATTTGACTCTATATCTTGTGCCAAAAATAACGTGTTACTTGCAAAGAGGCTTGTACAAATTGCATAATGCAGCACAGACAATAATAATGTTATCAAGATTACCAATAAGAGAGATGGGCAGTTCGTTCTTGATTATACGGAATGTTTTCAGCCGCCTGATGGCCTGTTCTACAAAAATGCGTAGATTAGCTACTGTTTTAGTTTTCTGTACATCAGCTTTCGTGAACTGCTCTTGTCCACGTTTCCCTGGCGGAATAAAAAGGTCAGCTCTGTGAAGCAAAAGATCCTCTGCAATAGTGAATCCACGATCTGCCATTACTGCATCATATGGCTCAAGGATGTTATAAAACTCTGATTCCCTTGTTAAATGGACATCTGAGGTGCGCCCACCCCATGCCTCGGAGATGAAGTTGAAGGCCCCATTTGGGGTGATTGAAACTAGGATTTTTGCAGTATTGTGGTGCTTATAATCTGACCACGTTGATGCTCTGATTACAGGGTTGCTTGGGGTCTCTATAAAAATTTCAGTGCAGTCTATTATATGGCGCACCTTGCAGTATCCTGGTTTTTTGAACTTCTTTGGCAGTGTTTTCTTAACAACTTCCATGCTAGGATTGTATATTAGGCATTTCAGTTCATTAGCCAAAATTTTGACCCATGTGTTGAAAATAGTTGATACGGTACTTCGTGAAATTCCAAATCTTTGTGCAAGGTCTGCATTGGTGGATCCCAAACGGAGTTTCATTAGTGTTAAAAGAAACTCGTCCTTTTGAGAAAGAGCCCGGTTTGGTCCAAATTTTTTTGGTGATTTCCTAAAGTTCCTGCCTTTTCTGGATGTTTTCTTAGGGCCACTCCAATATCTCACTTTTTTTATAGATCCTTTGACAGAGTCAAATAATTTGTGAAAGGCAGGCTTTGATGGGATACCAGTCAGTAAATTTACAGTCTGGTCATTTCTCAGATCTGAATGCTTCAATCCCTTATCCTGTTTGGCTACAATTTGAACTTCCAGCAACTTCACTTTTTCACTTAGCTCCTGTATTTTCTCTGAAAGTTCCACGATTTTTTTGTCTTTGTCTTGTCTGCTTTTCAAGCAACATGTGTTCATGCAAAAATTCGAATTTTCATTAATTTCATACCAGCCATAGACATAGCAATGGTCATGAATTACGGATGCTCTGTCTATGTCAACACAATCATTGACAGAAGTAGAGGGCTCAGGGTCTTGGAGCTCAACATCATCACAAGCCAGGTTGTCAGCTGAGTGGTCAAGAACAGGTACTGGTATTTCATCGCTGCTTGTATCTAGCTTAGCTCGTTTTCTGGATCTTACTGCAAGAGAGTTATCCCGTGGCGTTGGTGGTGGGCGTTTGGAGGCTCTCGTTTTCTTGCTGTGACCAAGTTGCAAAGTTGGGTCTGGGTTTTCAGCCGTTGGTTCACCGTCAACGAAGTGTAGATTACAAACTCATGAATCCTTGTTAGGCATCCAAAGAGCCCCATTCAAACTGTTCCTGCTTATATTTTTTGCCCATTGTAATCGGCGTTCCGGGTTCTTCTTTTCTGTCGGGAACGGGAATAATTTAAAGGGTGGCTCGCAGTCACACATGCTTGCTCCATTTTTACAACCATGATGCTCACAGGTCTTCGCCGCCCACTTCCCAAGCCTCTGTCCACTGTTGGGACAGCCTAGGACCACACAGTTTCTGTGGCCGAATCCCATGGACAAAGTTAATCTACATTAAAACAAAAGAAATACGACATAAGTCTGAGTATAAAATAAGCAAAAATCATCCTCGTACCATCTCAAATCGACTACACTCTGCAGCCTAAAATCGTTAGAAGATAAAAACAAAACGGAACAGAAATACGACTCCTTACCTGTTTTGGCCTTGTCACTGGAGTTTCTGTAAGTGAGTCTCGTTTCGATTCGATTATGAATACAAAGGGTAATAAATCAAGCGAAACAACTTTAAACAAGCAGAGATGGCGACCAAACAAGGATTTGATGCCCACTTATCTCAGTTCAACTGTATTTTCTATATTCCTGCACGTGTAATCCAATATGGCGAAGCTGCAAGTTGATGCCCACTTTTCTGAGCCCGCCTACCCACAATGCCGTGCGATCCAACCGGAAGTCCAGAACTCCTGATGCATGTATTAAATTAACCTATTTCTTACTTGACTGTTTTCTCTTTTATACGACTATAATAGTTTCTTTTCTAGCTAAACCGAGTCGCATACATATTTAGAATGAGATAGCACAAACTCATACCATCTGAACCACCTCAACAAAGAGAAAAGAGAGAACAAGGCTGGGCAGATAAATTCCAAAATATGGCCTGCATTTATTTGTATGAAGAGAGGAAAATAATAATTCGCATCCAAACTTACCTGTATATTGAAACAAACCGTGCATTAGATCTAAAACAAGAGCAAGAAAAAGAACTTTGCGGGGGGGTCTCGGGTCTGAAAATTTCATTTGCTCCCGGCTAGCTAGCTGGAATTAGAAAGTTAACCTTGGCACTATATCAGGAAATGACCAGTCTAGGGAATGTAAATATTCTATTAAAGTTTGGTACTTGTATCACAAATCGCATAAGTTTCGAGTTAAGCCGCGGGACTATTAGGGTAGTCGTTAGCACCTGCTATAAATTGGGGTCCTGATAAAAGTAAAATTAATAAAAAAATATAAAAATAATGATAATTAAAACATGCAGACTAATAAAGATAAATACTTCCGCTGCCAGCATTTTCATTCAAGGTCGGTTTTAAATGGCTAATTAGCAGAGTCTTCTTTATTTTATAACGGTTATCCAACCATCTTCTTGCCAATATGCGAAAGTGATCCTATTTTAAGTAACAGCCAGTTGACGTGACTTGGTTTGCAATAGCAGATGTATGACAGCTACTCGCAATCACTTATCTATGTATGACGGTCCCTAAAACTAGCCTTACATGCAACCTTGGAAATTTGAGCACAGGTGAGTGAGTCTGTCCTTGGGCTCCTGGCTATAGCATATGGCGCTTATCGTAGGCTAATCGTTTGTTCCTTAGGAGTTTCTTCGGAAGAAATTCATCTGGCGATCTTTGCAAGCTAAAATATCGTCCCAATTAATACTTAATAATGATATTACTACTGATAGTTTTGGGAAAGATGGCTGACATATATCGTAACTCATAAGTCATAGGCCACAATGTGATTACACAAAAACTATCATATTTATTTCCGTTAATATCTTTCAGAAAGTTGGACGGTTTCAAATGGAGTTTGCTTGTATTCTCAAGCTTGCTTTTATGGCAGCTCTTGTCAGGCTCAGCTCTCAGAGCAACCTAGGTTTGTATTTTAAAAACCGTTTTCCTTGTACTTTAAATCGCATAAGTTTAAGTCCGTCAGCACTATTGATTTCATCTATTTTGAATGATATTGTCGATTTCATGATCGTTCATAGCCTTCGAATCCAATAATGCTTTGGAAACTGGACCTCGTTTGAAAAACGTGCGAACAGTTAGCGATTGGCTTTATCATATGTTTTTATTTGCTTTTCCGTTCACTTTCGAATTATGCTTGGTTGGCTTGTTTAGCTGATCGCGGCTTTCAGTATATGATTAAATAGCCATTGAAAACTCTTTGCCTTCTTTGCCAGCCAGGTCGAGTTTCAAACGTCAAACTCTATTGAAATTGTGCCGATTTAGCCACCACCCCTATCTCTTCCAAGGCAAGCAAGCTGAAACAGTTGTTTGTGTTTTACAGTTTACTCATTTATAACTCTTTTTTATCCTGTCGATTGGCCGAAAATGTTTCGTCAGAATATTGACCGCACACACCCGGCGAAAAATTGCCTGAAAAACAGGTATTAATTGAGGAACTGATCCATTGGGTACCCATGTTATTGCCAAAATCTTTGAATTTAAATTGATCTGACGGCAGACCATTTAAGAGATGAACCATTAGAAAAGTTAGCCAGCCGTATGATAATATATTCATTAAGATTTCGCTTGTATGAATTTTTTTAGGCCAGTTCGTGGATATTTTTTAGGGTTACTTGAACCTTTTTCATTTAAGTTCCCCTTGCATTAATTAAGAAATGGTAAATTTGGGGGGACTAGGGCATTCTTAACAAAACTGGAACTTGCATTGCATTGTTTTAAGGATAATGAAAAATGTTTCGGTTTTCCTAGCTGAAAAACCTTTTTTGACTGTTTAGTTCACTAGATTTTCAATTTTGCATTTGACTTTTTAACCTTTACCTTGGGAAATGGAAATTCAGGGGACAAAACCCAAAAGTTTTTCAAGCCAAGGTGTCAGATGAAATATCCATTATCCAGAGCAAATGTCTGTAAAAATCGAGCAAAATCGAAATTTCGCGGCCACAGTCAAAAAATCACTTTCGCTCATATCTCGTTCATAGATAGGCATAAGTAAGTAACTAAACATGGTGTAGTTTGTTTTTCAAAAGACTGCTTGGATTTGGAGAAAATCGACAAAATCAATTTTCGTGGTCGGCGACTTGAAAACAACCAGAATTTGAGGCAAAATCAGGCGGTCTCAAAACTTCGCTCGCATGCACACAGGGAGAAAGCGGGGTAAAATATTCCCCGATAAATCAATTTATAAAGGGTTTTACGTCTGGTTTAGTGCTGAATTCTTATCTTAACGATAATCTGGAAGATAAACAATGTTATTTTAATTTGGATTCTTTTTCAACTAAACGAAATTTAAATTTAGGCTGAAAGTTGCGTTTTATATTTTAGGCATGTGATACACCTTGGTTTTGCCTGAAACTCAAGACATATGTTATTTAAACATTGAGCTAAAACATATGTAAGAATTGGCCTGGGTAATTAAATTTGTACTTCACACGAACCTTCTGAAGTTGAATAAATTTTGCTTGAAATATGAGACCTTTCAAGAACGTCGGTTGGTTGTTGCTCGACAAGTCACGATTGCTGGGCTCTCCAAAAGAAACTTAACTCACAATCGCACTTGTATTAAAGACATTTGTACTGAAACGATAATTTTTGTTACCTCAAATGCGTTTTCCCGTTCTGGTTAACTGCAGTGGCATTGCACCTTGTCCCAAGCTAATCAACCGAAGATCCAAAACTCGAGGAAACGTGGTGCGTGAAAATAACCTTAAACAGAACATTTCTTGACATTGCTGGCCTTTCCTTTCCGCAGTCAAACTTTTACATCCATTGCCATTTAAAAATTCTAGGTCTCACAAAAACTGCGATTTTGATAGTGAAACTTTCGGGCTGCCGATACCTCTTTGGTCATAAAAGTCTGGTCAAAAGTGTTGCNAAACAGAACATTTCTTGACATTGCTGGCCTTTCCTTTCCGCAGTCAAACTTTTACATCCATTGCCATTTAAAAATTCTAGGTCTCACAAAAACTGCGATTTTGATAGTGAAACTTTCGGGCTGCCGATACCTCTTTGGTCATAAAAGTCTGGTCAAAAGTGTTGCGTGACCGGATTCACAGGCTTCCCAATCTAACCATTTGAGCGACGCCTTTTTTTAATGTGCTTGCCAGAAGTAGCATATTATGCCACTAACAATCCAAATCATGTTTTTTTTCTGTTTTTCCTAAGTTTTCTTAAAGTGTGTTTCCATACAAGACTAAATAAATCCAAAAATATCGTTTTTCACGTCAACTTCTCTCCGTTGCCTTGTACTGTGCCTTTGATTGAGTTCAGGCTTCAATCTCTAGCTATTTCAACGCGTTATTACCTATCAGGCGGTTGTCTTTCCTCTCGCATATGCAAGTTCCATTGTTTTGGATAACAGTTTTCGTAAACATTCTGCAATTATCTTTCAGTATATATTTTTTTCTAATCTGAACATGGTAATTCGATCGTCAAACTCTTGTTTCTTTTTATATACAGGGGAACCCTGCCTTGTGACCACCCCATTTATACGACCACCTCTTGCCTCAGCTAACCTCCCATAGTCTTTCCACCCAGACGTGAAAATCTCCGAGTCATTTTATTATTTTGAAGACCTCTTTAATGGGACCACCTCGCTAACACGACCAGGATTTTATGGCCCAACGCTGGTCGCATCAACGGGGTTCCACTGTATTTTTTAATTTCAGTTTTCCACATTGTAGAACAAAAAACAAAAAAAAAGCTTTAGCTGGACTATGGAAATTAATGTAAAGAACTAAAATTTGGGCCTCGCTTATATGAAGAAAATTTGTCTCGAGCACACCCGCCAACTCGACCTTCCCTGGAAGAGGCAACGTTTCACACATTTCTTTACAAAACATGGCGAACTGTTTAAATTACAAAAAGTTGGCTTGGCTTGAAGGATGACCCACCTTGTCCAGTTACCCTTTTGTAATGGTAGGGTCAGCCTCCTAGCCGGGCGAACGTTTCCCCGTAGGCACTTTACGCGCTTTCCATTCAACAAAAATTCCTGTTAGAAATTTCGGAAAAACCACGTACCCAGTGGAACGGTACACTACCGTTGCACAGACCAAACCAAAGCCACCGCGAGTTTGGTTATCGTGCTTGTAAGCAGGATACAGATCAGTGGTCCTGGGGAAAATAATTTTGTCAAATGGAAGGGGACATTTCGGCCCGACCGTCTAGATAAAATCCGATCCGTATCAGTAAAGGGCTCGCATAGCCAAGGCGAGACAATTAGAGCATGCGCGAAGGCCGGTTGGGTTCAATGTTTTTTTTTTCTCTCGGCTGGGAGGGTGACTCTACTACACGAGACAGGTTTTCTTTATATAAAGGGAATTAATTTTCGGATACGAAATTGTAATAGAGAAGGAATCAGAGAAAATTTAAAAATTCTCGAATTTCTCTCGGCTGGAAGGGTGACTCTCCTACACGAGACAGGTTTTCTTTATATAAGGGAATTAACATTTTCGGATACGAAATTGTAATAGAGAAGGAATCAGAGAAAATTTCAAAATTCTCGGAAAAAATAATATTTAAGCCCTTGTAATTTCGATCGAAAAGACTACTCAAGTTGCCCTGTGGATGACCGAACATTTGTTATAATTATATGGCGCCGCAAAGAACTTAGTAATTTAGATAATCTAAAAGGGTTTTAATGTATTTAGGAGAAAACTGTCATTCGGTGCCCCTGTCAACTATCACCTAACGCGTCCACTACTTTCTTTACTCACATAGTTTTTTTT